TTTCTTTGTGATGTTTTGGTCTTATTTTCGAAATCGTGTAAGTCGATTACACTTACTTTTTCTCCATTTAACTCTTACTTTTATTATTATTTAACCCTTAATTTTTAATCCACTGAAATCATAAAAAAAATGTTATTCCTTCTTCCATTTCATACAGGTTTATTGCCTCCAAAACGTTGCAGCCTTGTCGCCTCTTTAGGTACGGAGCAATCCCTTATCAACTCGACGAATTTTTAGGAAATTTCTTTAGCGCCCGTTTATGAGAGCCCTTATTTAATGCAACGACCTAGGCTTTTGTTTTTTAATTATATTCAGGTGACCTCATTTATTTTGAAAAGGTGACTTAAAGGCGTTTAAGGATAGCTTTGCATTATGATTACAAATATGGATAACATCTATTCATTCATTAAAAATTTTAATCTGTGAGGTAAACTTTTCTGCATTTGGTAATCGAGTTTACCATTTTAATCGATACAGTATTAACATTACTTTGACGTAATTATTATGATTCTAGTATTTGGGATTTACATTATTAAATTTAGAAAAAATTGGTTTCATTTTAAATAATTATCTCCCTATACAATACAATACAATATTCTTAAGAGGTGATACTTCTCGTGTTTTATATTTATTTGCTCATCACCAATTGTAGATGCAGTATAAAGAAAACGGAGAAACCTAAAATATTTTAGAGTTGCACGAAAAATGCCATTTTTATTAGGGAATTGAAAATCGAGAGAGCAGCATGTGATGCTAAGTAATCTTGGTGCCTAAGAATATTCAAAACACGATGTCCACCCAGTAAAAAAAACTATTAAATTTATTAAATAAATATGTCATGACATATGTCTATACAAAGTTATCTAGTCCCAGTGAGTAAAGCTTGAACTATGTAATTGAATAAATAAATTAAATCTGATTCTTCTCCTTAGTCGGCATCTTCATTTCGGATGGTCGTTTCTAGTCTAAAATGTTCATTACTACGCATTACACTATGCATTTCCAGATGTTTATGTCCTCGGCGGTCTTAATGTCTTTGGTATATACGCAGTATAGTCTCCACCAGGTAAGGTACGTAACCTTACCTGGACAAGACTATACTGCGTACCTTACCTGGAGGAGAGGGTAGTGTGGCCTCAGCAGCCACACTACCCTCTCCTCTCTCCACTCGGCCCTTGTTGCACGGCCGAGCTCCCTAGACTTCTCAGGTTTGAGGCCATGGGAGCCAGGACAGTTAGTGCTAATAAGCAGTAAGCCTCACAGCCCCTAGCAGCGAACCTGGTCTGCGGCTCCACCGCTCATCACATTTCGGCCGCGGAGGGTAGGGCGACCGGTGTATCGCAATACCGACACTCCTTTCCCCCGGTGGCTCCACCACTATTGCATCAGCCGTGCCGCCCCACCGAGGTGCAGAGGACAGTGAAAAACAACACAGAACCTGTCCCCCGCACCCTTCCAGTAACTATCCAGAGTGGGTTCAAGGAGCCCACACGGAGCGGCCCTCTCGTACCAGTCTTACACCACAGCCCACGGTGGGTGCCTCTTGGGTTCACCGAATAACTACCACGGCTACTGAACACCTGCGCCACGACAAGGCTGGAACCCGGTGGTTGAGCAATCGCGGTTGTGGTTTATCGTTGACCTGACGAGCTACCATTATCTTTTATAGACTGTTGGGGTTTCTAAGAGTGTTGCTTGTAAAATATTTGAGTATGGTCTAGGGTTCAGTGCCATAAAAAAATTATTCCAGTTACCATTTAAAGTTGTTTAGCCATATTGGTCTAGAAATGAACAGTCGACAACCGATTCTGCAAATAAGAAATTAGACATTGCAGCACAATGAATAATACATATAAAATCACTACTAAAATACAACTTTAAAGTTATCTACGGTTTATGTTTTCATTAATTCTTCATCAGTGACCTTCAGACAGTGTTGTAAATGTGAAACGTCTAAGAACCTGTTCAGTCTTAGCTTACTTGGAAGACCTATCGAAACGCGGTGACGTTGCTGTTTCAAGACACTTTGAAGACACAACGTCGTTCAATATAAGCTCAGATACAAAAAGCCCTGTTATGATTTTATAAGTTTAGGTATTTAATAATGGCTGTATTAAACGAACTCTATGTTTATATATCATATCTTATATTTACGTTAACACTACACATTATTAAATCATAAAAATATATTGTTACGCTTTTGTGTGTTTATTTTAGACTTAATTTTCCGGAATTTTTGGAAATGTTTGGAATACTTTTGAGTGTTCATGGTCATGGGACGGATCTTTTAGTTATTATTTTTCTTTATCTTTTATTTAGTTATTATACCACTTGGTCATATTATTCTAATGATGCATAGAAAAGTAAGTATAGAAAAGAGAAAATATACAGGGAAAGGTCTGAAATTTGGGTTGACTGTTGCTCATTTTAAACAATTTTTGGCAACGTGAAAAATTGTAACTAAGTAAATCTATATGTATTTCATAAATGATACGAAAATGAAATCCTAATATATCAATGAAATTATTGTCAAGTGTCATTATTACTTTTGCAAATTTAACCAACATTGGGGTTATTTCCTTCTTATTTACCGATTTCGCTTTCTTCGGCGACTCAAGCAAAGAAGCCAGACGTTTTGTACAGACAATAAATCAAACAGACGGTCATTGCAGCGAGGTAAGAGCGCCATTGTTATTCGACCCCTTGCGGTTATATTTCATCGGTTGACACGCATGAAGGGCTTTTGTGGAGTGTGCAGTTAGCAAGTTCGCGGGTGCTTATTGTTCTAGATACAGAAACGCCTTTGTTTGGTAAAAACTTGTAGCGAGTGCGATCAATAATAGATAGTTTTGCCTAACAAAATTGACTTTTTTTTAATGGAGAAATGGGGCAAGCGAGCAGGAGGCTCATCTGATGGTAAGTGATTACCGCCGCTCATGAACACCCGCAACATCCTAGGGCTTTCGGAAACACCGCCGGCTGCAGTGAAGATTAGTTCATAAGAGCTTAATTTGTAATATATGTAGTTTGATTGTTGTAAAATAAGGTATTAAATACAGACAACAAGAAATATAATAAAATTGAGGATTTAACGTGTTTGTTAAGTAGAGATTAAATTGTACGTTTTCATCGACGTTTCAATTTTATTTTGTAGCAGCAATAAGTTACATTACTGTTTATTTGCATAACAAAGGTAAGAGGCGCTGATGATGATGTGTTATTTATGTTCATGGTGAGCGTAGACATCCATTTCTCAAACACGAAAAATCCATTCGTTTTATCAAAAACATTTTATCAAAAATTACGTGTTTTTTTATTGCCAGTCTATTTGTAAGGCAAATTTTGCAAGGTACATTTTGTTGTTTTGTTACTAATAATATTTCAATATTTTAATTGAACGACGAGGAAAACGCACTATACTTTTCCTTTTTTTATTATTCATTTAATTCGATTAAAGTTACAGCCTATAATTATGTTTCCCACAGCTAGGCTAACGCCTCCTCTGTCCAGAGGGTATCACACTATCCGGAGCACTTCACTATTTTCAAAATATGTTTTTTATTATTTTTTCGGAAATATGCAGGTTCCTCACGATGTTCTCTTTCACCGCTGAGCACTTAAATTTAACAATTTCATTGGAGCCGGCGCCGGGGATTGAAATCAGATTGCTCGAGTATAATGAGTTAAAAGCGAGTGCCCGTAAAATGAGCTATCACGGCTATGGTTAATAGCTTTATTAATTAAGAGAAGAAAAGATAAATTCAAAAATGGGGTATTAAAAGTATTGGAGGAGGAAATGGCATCTTAACCACACACACTCACACACACACACACACATACGCACATGCACACAAACACACACGCACGCACGTACAAGTAATGCATAATAATGCCTAAGTATCAAAAGTTTTCATGTTTTCTACTGTCGTAATTTAAATAATTTAGCAGAATAATGTAAATCCAAATTGGCTTTAAGTTTAAGTAATAAGATTTATATATATTTAAAAAAGTGCTGTGGATTTTGTTACAACAATAAAATAAAAAATAAAAATTAATAGACATTTATGTATGCTATGAGCTTTCTTCTTGTGCATGTTGGGCCAATCCCACATCAATGTTTCCTGAAACGTCTTGCGTATGGCGTTAATGTCGACTTTTCATAATAATAATTTTATTCCAATATAAAAAAAGTGTATTTTGTGTGTTATAAATAAAGTGCATTGTTAACATGTGTCTAAACGCGTCAAGTGCTATGTAGGTTAAGGAACTCTATGTCGCATTCTCGTAAAAAACT